ATCAATATTCTAATAAGTTTATGATCTTTATTTGTTCGGTACCTGCAGGGTTCCTTGCCGGTGTTTTCTCATATTAAATTAACATCAATTTAATATCACATAAGATATAATACTAGTACATTTATACAAAGAAGGCATTTTGCGCTCTTTGTTACAATAAAAGGAAATCTGATGGACGTACGAATTACTTTCAAAACGTATGTACAATTACAAAATGTCTGTATAATTATAAACTGTATGTACGAACAACACAATTTTCATCTAAAAGATATGATCTATATTATAGGATTTTGAAAACTGAATTCATTGAAATATTATCAAGATTCAGGTCTTTAATGAACATATTTACATATCTAACAAATGAATTTATATACATGATGTAGTTCTTAAAGGCGAATTAAAAAATCCCGTATATTTAATAAAAAATGTTACATTTAAAACCCATGTCGATTCAACAAAACATTCTTGTTGTGTATTTGAAAGTTTTAGATCTATCAAAATAATCTTTTTCTTGTTTGGTAGTTCCAGTATCACCCTAAGAATATTTTGCCAATCATGTAATTTTGTTCTGTGACACACAAGCTTGTTAACCCCTAATAGTCTCTTTCAACTTTTAGAAACTATTTCGTTTCGCCGTTGTCTTCGTTTATAGCAATCATATTCATTTACCTGAAAGCCACAAGAAAGAGGCACATTGAATGTTTACTTATTGCCGTATGACCATATCTGCAGATGTATCAAAATTCTAAACTGTCCAAGATTTTCAATTTTTAAAAGTTGAGTTGTTTTGCCTAAACTAGTGCTAGAGGATGCATCCATTTACCACTATCCACATTCCGACCAAGCCTGCAACGTTTTCAATTTTGCCATGTCTGCAGCAGTTTATTTCATTTGTTTAATTGAGACTATTAACAAGATAAAAATGAAAAGTACAAAACCTTCCTTGTCGTCTTTATTCTCAAACTATATTCTGGTCGGTTTTTTATTAATGTTTGTCTATGCAAATAACCGGGAGAGCATGTTGCAGATATTTATCATTGGAATGTTTTTATTCGTCTCGAATATTCCCCCCAAAATGGCTAGTCAGTATAAAGTTTTACATCTCTTTTATAAAAAAATATATCATACTTAAACACAAATGCAATGAATCAACATGATCAGGTCAGGAACAGAATCTGATATACCAGAACCATTCCAGACAGTAACCTCTTAAATCATATGATGGATCTGTTGTTTTTAAAGTACGACGAAACGTCTGGAAAACTTTAAAGATGAAAATAAAATCTGTTTTAAGTATTTGATGCAATTGTAATATTGGACATAATATTATGCTTACCAGAGAAATGCGGGGTTTTAACCGTAAAATAAAATCCATTTCACTCTCACTGTGTTGGCGCGCGTAAATATCTGTATGATTCCGTAAATTTATAAAATTACATAAAAAGCAATTGTTGCGTTTTGTTCTTAATGTCATATTCAAATATCATTAGATATGTTTCACTAAAATAGCAAATAGCTTCGCATCGATAATGGCTATGGACTCAAATAACTTTTGTCTGCACAGCGATAGGTTATGAAATGAACTTCTAATGCTATCTTTTTACGTGCGTCTATTTCCCGTCCTTCAACTTGGTAATCTAAAGTAAACTCTATATAACTTATAGAATAATGTAAAAGAGTTTCGGAAATTGTTATTCTATATTAAATTAAACTCTTACAATGTAATTAAAAACAGACAATGATTGTGATGGCGATCTAGGTCTTATAGCTAGAATTTTCTTCTATTTAAAGTTCAAACATATGTTCCATAAGCTCCCCAAATCTTAAAGAGTGATTTAAGAGAAAAATTAAGTGCTCCACCAATGAAAAAGATGGACTGTCCACAGTGTTGTTTCAACACGTGTTTTCCTTTAGTGGTTTTATTTGTTTTTCTCTTTGAATATTTGTGTCTTCAAAACAATATTGACGAGCAACATGTTCTGATTCCAGATTTTGTTGTAGTGCAAATATCAGATATCTATTAGAATATCTTCTTTATTCGTAAATTGATCTTAATATCATGAAAACATCTTTACTTTAACCGAATAACGTAATTTCCTGTCATTCTAAAGATTCTAAATCATTTCTAACATCATTTTACTGTCTTCCAGATATACAAGTTTGTCAATTATCCTCTCAATGAAGTGCATGACCCAAAATCAAGAAAACAATTTTCACAAGTTTGTATATTCCAGCTATACTGAACCAAAAAAGAAACTTTCGCAAAGTATGTGCCAGTTGTTCAAGGGTACCACTTAGATGTACACACATATATACATGTAGTAGCTTGTAAAACTCGTTTTGTTTTGTTTGCAAAATCGGTTAGCTATAATCCCCGTATAAAAGCCCGATATGTTTATTCAACGTAAAAATCGAGTTTCAAAAGGATTAAAACACTATACTAACATATCTACATTCAAACTTGGAGAAAGTTTCTTTTTTGTTTCAGTATATATGAAAAACTGTGTTCGTACACCAATTAAACCTTACTAAATCGGTGCCGGAGATTTATAAGTCATATTGCATTTCAATTACGCCTTAATTCTAAAATTATTTATAAGCTGATCATTTCTTAAACAACAGATAGAAAGAAGAATGGAACAAGTGTACTTCTTATAACATTGTATAGAAATAAGAATTTCGTTGTTTGTTATAGAATTTTTTTTATACTAATTTAATAATGTGTGTTAAAAATTCTTGTGATAATTAGATATCTACCAATTCTTATAGTTTAGAATAAAAAAAAAAAACACTACAACCAACGTTTTATTTCGTTTACAGAAAAATTACAAAGAATATGGAAATGTAACTGCACAAAATTACATTTACATTGCTACATGTATTGATGAAAATAAAATTTGCATTTGTAGAGATCTTGTTCCAACTCCATGTTTAAACAGCAATATATTGGTTTAATTGCACTTAGTTTTAATATTCTGAATTATTCATAGGCATATTCCTTTTGATAAAAAAACAGTAGTTTAATCAACCTGATTCAATAGTCGACAATTATTTTTTTTGATACATGTATTATCAAATCCATGCACGCACACACGCACGCACACACGCAATTTCAAAAGTTTCTCTCTAATAAAACATATAATATCGTAAGTCTTTTTTTTATTCTGGATCTTGTATTTGGAACGGCCTTCCTGATTATATTAAGTCTGCTACATCTGTTAACCATTTTAAAACCTTATACTTGAGGTTTTATCACGCATTGATGTATACAAATTGATAATCTCCTGTATGTTTTTACATTTATGTATTTTAATAGTTTGAAAATGTTAAATTTATATTGTTCCTTGTTAAGGGCCTCATGGAAGATTGATATGTTTGTTCAAATGAGTTCTCTCGTTAAATAAAGTCTTTATTATTATTATTATAATATATGAGCGTGGTTTTAAGTATAGTTTACAGGTTATATCTACTGTATAAACTGAAAACATTTGGTATGTTGGAACATATGCCTATCTTTATTTTGACACATTTTCCGTGATATTATCAATATAACATAGCTTTAGTTTATTTCATAACACTAACGACTAACAGTCATTACTGTTACATAGGTAACAGTATAAAATCTGTTCACGTGGTCTATTTCCAAAATAAAATGAAATAAAATGGCCGCCATTTTTTTCTCGATTCATTCTTATTTTCGACGTTAAACCCCGATAGGACATCAATTTCTTCTCAGGAGAAACTATGACACTCATAAAATTTAGTTGTTCGCACCCTGGTGTGCTTTTCGCGTATTAAATATCGTTTTGTCGAATAGTCAAAAAGTGAACATCCGTTTTCAACGTAAGTATTTGCAATGTAAATAATTATGCAATGTAAATAATTATTTAAACATGCAACAAAGGATTATTTAAAAATTATAATCAGTGACACGTTACAGATATGGTGGACACACATAGGATATCATCGTTATTTTGTCAAAAACCATGCTAAGAATATTCTGGAAACAGAAGGATCAGATTTCACAGATCATAACCGTGTTAATGGGTTAGTGTTTTGTTTTCTAAATAAAACCTAGCTTATTGTATGTTTATGATTTGTAGATATCATCACTTGCTTAAAGAATAAAAGAAAAAGAAAAACTTCTCAAGTAGGCCTAAAGTACACTTAAAACTTAAAAGGTAAGGACAGTTTAGTTACAAAGTTTTACAGTTTGTTACTTATGGTTTATTTTTGTTACAGTTAGATTTAGTTGACAATTTCAGATCATCACAGTATTTTTGTTCGGGGTAATAGAATAAATAACACATGGGTTTGTGAGTAACAGTAAAAATATCATCCCTCGTCAAAAAACCCATGTGTTATTTATATACTGCTGTATTAATAACATTACATTAAGCCACATGAAAGAGAGAAAGACTAATTAGAGATATTACGCTGCATTTGAATTCTAAAACGACCCTCAAGCACCCGCTTCAGCTGCTTGTAGATGAGCTATTAAGACTTCAGAGAAGAGTGGTACTGCTAGAATTCTGTCGGCAAGGTAACGTTTTAATTTTAAAATCAAGGAATGTTGTAGATCAAAGAACTGTTTTATGCTGTATGAATATTATAATATTATTGTGCAATCTAATTCACATAGCACTTGAATTCTAACAAATTTTGATAGCTAAAACCCGAAGGTCTGCAGAGTTATTGTCGGCGGTTTGGTTGAAAACGTTTTATTTCTCTACGTTGTAAAATACTTAAAGGGTGAAAAAGGAGGTTTCTGGGAGTAGGGAGAGACTATAGTATATAAAGAGCTTATTGCATATATGGTATTGTCATATAGCAAACTCATTTAAATAAAGACATTTCTTAGATATGTTTGCTGATAAAATTGCTATCTATATATTGTGTAATTTAAATATGTGTTTGAATTTTGTCAGTGTATTGCATCATTGGACAAAGAAGAAGTGAATGAAAATAGTAAATTAATTTCCTATTAAGACGGTCGTGAATGTTTACTATCTGAAACTGAGTAGGCTACTATACGTGCATATTGGCTTTGATAATACTTACAGAGAATATTATATTCTTGATATATGTATTCTTGCAATTCCTTTGAACTGTTTATTTTAATGGTGACCAAAACAAAACCAAACAAAAACAACATAAACAGTATGATAGGCTATAAAATGTTTTATTTAAGGAGAAAGAGATTTCAGTTCTATTACAGCATACAGAGAATAACAATTGTATATGATAGCAGTTCTGTAAGATACTATTAAAATTACATCATTAAATATTTCATCAGATATTGTCGGGGTTAAATCATAAAGCAGATGCAATATCTCATAACAACTGGTCTTCATGATTAACTATTGAGCTTACATTTCCCGTCATATGTACACATCTTTTTTTCTGTCCAGTACCCTTTCAAAAAAAATCGCCATTCTTAGAATTCACAGATACTTCGCAACTGCATATCACATGAATTACCCGACCAAACGCGATATCTTGAAGTACTAATAAAAACTGTTTTGGTTATCAAACAGTTTTCAGCATTATTGATAGATGGCTGTCCTGTTGCCCATACTATGTAACCATCGTCGACTGCAGTTCCATCTGACCAGACCCATTTCCCTTCCTCTGCTATATCATCAGCTCCAAGCCACACCCATGCGTCTAAATCTTTAAGTAAAGGATAGTTTATATTATTGTACTCATTGCATAAAATGGTTATAAAAATGAAGTTATCGAGAGGCGAATCGGTCTATATTTATAAGTGTATAATGGAAAGTCTGTAATGCAATGAATTATTACGTTGAAAGGGTTTTGAAACCATGACAAATATGAAAGTTATTGACAAGTGTGGGATACATGAAGCTATATTACATATATTGCAGATAATAAAATGTACTAGAACAAAATATTACTTTTGCCAAATAAATGTTCATTCCAAATCACCTTGAACTTATTTCAAGCAAATTTTTGTAAGAATATCCAAATGATACATATCTATTGTTTTTAATCAATATTTGAAGAAAATAAGGAAAATGTGCCCAGTGTAGACCTATCCACCACCTTCAAGTTATCTCTACTGAGTGAAGTTCACAAATATTTTGTTTGAAATTTGAAAAGAAAATAAAAGAAAAAAAATAAAAGAAAAAAATAGAAAAATTACAAAATACAAGTATAAAAGAAATATTTTGGTTTATTTCCTCTTGAACAAATAGAGCATGCACGGAATCATTACTTTGCGGTTAAACACATACATAAATAGCAGCATAAATATTCTTCCAGAACATTTTGTTCTGTTCACGTACATTTTTCATGCGAGTTAAATTATAGAGACATTCTATGTTACAACTTTTCAGAGAGTCGATCATACGGATTATGAAAACAATATAATAATAACAAATAAAATTTTGTATAAAGACATAAGATATAGCTACATATCCTTTAATAGTATTCATTTATATTTTAAGTAAAATGACCAACATTTTTAAGAGCATAGCGAAAATTGTTAGAAAACTGTTATAAACGTAGGACACATAAATATGCTCAAATATTGCTAACGTTTGAGTATTTCTATCAGACCATCTATATATAAATCCGTAATTTGCTTCATATTAAGGATTAGTCAGAAATATCTGCTTGAAACAGTTCTTACATGTTTTTTATTTATGTGAAGAAATTGTCTTAAGAATGTTCATTTTTAGAGCTGAGGGAGGGGGGGGGACATAAGATAGAAAAATACTTAATGACTTGGGCGATAACTTGTAATTTCAACTTCCGTCAATGTTAATTAAGGCTCAATCAAACCGAACCTGCAATATTTTTGATTTTGCCAATTTGAGTGTTCCTTAGGGATTTCGTTTTTTATGACATAAAAAGATCTGATTAAGTGTCTTGTGAGGATGCTTCAGTAAGTCGACTATAGACACAACACTATCAATTTATTCATATTATCTTTTTTCAATGAGGCGATACTTACATGGTCCAAATAAGGTTGTTATATATTCCATCTCAATATCTGTCTTGATATCAGCGAGATGTCCTCCTAGACCTTCACAGTATGTCTAATGATATAATAAAATTTAGTATAGAAACAACCCACCTTTTTTTCTACCTGACATTTAAAATAAATTGTTAGTTTGTTTGTTTGTTTCATTTTACGCCTTTTCCCAACAGTATTTCAGTCATATAGGCGGGTAGTTTCCTAACCATCGTTCCTGGAGAGTAACACCAGTACTAGACTACCTTCCTCCGTGCTAAACTACCAAAGCATCTCCCGGGGATCGAACCACGCCAGAGAGGTAACTGGATTATAAGTCATCGACTCTAACCCCTCGATCACGGAGGCGGTGTCTTTAAAGTAAAACACGGCATCACTGCGGTGTGTTTTGATCACTTCGTTAAGGAAATTTATAAAACAGAGTTTCCTAAGTGTAATATAATAATCTTCTGCTGTTAAATACTGTTTAGTGCTTATAAATATACCAACCTATTATTCCTTCATTTAAGTTATTTGGAATAAATGCGGTTTTAAGACGGTGCTAATGGGTGTGAGGGATGTTGCATTTTTTCATTGTATCTCATATACAGGCTCAATCACACCGAGTCTGCTATTTTCATCTGATTTTGTTGAGATTTTATGCTTTTGAGGGATCTTTTTTCTCCAGATTTTTTAACTCCTATTAAAGTTGCATGCCTCCAGATGCCAAAATATTTCAACAAAGTCTGACTTGAGAAACATGTTCTATGATTTTAAGAAAAGTAAAAGATTCAAGCAATAATTAACATGTTTTATGCGATTTATAACTTATTTCTCAGTATTTGTCGCCATATTTATACTGCGTGACTTATATAGTAAGGACTACTTTTGCATATTTTGACCTTTTCTTTATATTTAAGTAGATTGTAAGTGCCGTTTGCAATGTGTCGATTACTTTCTATGTTCACTTGACAGTATTTTACTTTTAAATTTTCATGAAAATTAACATAAATCTAAGTCGTGCTGTTTTGAAGCGTTTCGCTTTGTGACTGAGTCTACCATCCCTGATTTGAAATCCTTTACTAATAGGTGCTGTATATGAGTATATATATATACGTATATATATCACTTCAAATACATTAACATATAAGTCACATAGGTATCTTCTTACACATTTAGAAAAACAATTTGTAAAGTTTATTTTTCACCACAGCGCCTCTAAAATGGTATTGAAATAGATATTCTTTATTGTTCACCATTAAGAAATAACACAATCCTTGAGCAAAATAATGCGTACCTTCCCTTCTTGCCAGGTTCGCCTGTTACCCGCGTCAAAAAAGTAAAATGAATCCAAAAAGACATTAGGCACTGCTACATCTGAAAAGAAAAGCTACAATAAAAAGTAACACTTACATACAAATAATAATAAAGTGAATATTAGATCTAAACATATCTAGTCAACACATTAAAATCATTCAAAGGGTATATGATTTGAGGAGCGGACACAGAAGTGTCTGAATTTGACCTTGTGTGACCTTGATCAGCAGCGGCTTGGGTTCTGTTAATCACTTTATTGATGTGAGAATTTGAGCCGAGATAGGAGAAGTGAAAGATGAATAGAGCAGACACGTTATTGACATTTGACCTTTAAACTTGGCTCAGACTTTAATCCAGTACAAAGAATGGCATTGATTCTGCGCATTGCCTTGTTATCGTGAACTTTAAAGTCGATCCACCAATGAGATTTGGATTTCTAGAGCGGTTGTCACCCTAAGTCTACTGATAATTTATGAGAAATGAAACTATATGTTTTGTTGTGCACAAGTATGTTCACTTGATGTTAAAACCAGATGATACATTACCTGGTACGCAGCGAATAGATGTAGTGCTCCAGATACCATTGTCCTGACATATCACACTGCCAGTGCTGTAAGAGACATCTGTGAAACCAGCCTGGCAATGATACTCTATCTTATTGTTAAACGACCACATATTTCCATTTAAAACAGTGTTAGGTTTATGTGCAGGTGGACCACATCCTGTAATAAATATACATATTTAAGAACAGCATTATGATTCTGAATCAAAATAATATCTATATAAGCAAGAAATATAGATTCGTTTTCTAATTGAATGAGTTTAGCAGGATGGTGTATTGAATCACATAATTGTTTGTTCTGGTTTAACGGCACGTCCATATCGTGTAGAATATCATAAATATTTAGCTTAAATGGGCTAGTAAATTCATAGGAGACTAAATGGGATTTTGAAAATATACATAATTAATCAGTGTTTTAATGGAACTGAGGCGAATATGCTGCAAGTGAATATTCTCAACAAAATCCATCATGAATTTTTGAAAACTCAAGTTGACAATGCCATGGTAATTGCAAGCTATACAAGACGTGTTCTCCTGATTTGTCCAAATCGACATTGAAAAGACCTACTTAACAATAACGGTTTAGAAGGGATTGACGGGGTGATACATTAAGACACGGGTTAATATTATGAAGTTTGAAGAATAAGGCATCGTCAACATTTGATTTTTTATTGAGATTATGTACATTAAAAGGTTTTTATTTACTATAATGTAACACGTAGACTACTGGTTAAGTGTTTTATATTTCATAACATTATATTTCGTAACATTTTCCTCGTATACCAACACAATTTGATTGATTTAATGTTTTCCAACACCATTAAAATTTTGCTATATAATTATGACGTGAAATGTATAAATAAAATAAAATCAAGCAGGAAAGATAGCTACATTGTCAGATAGTTTCGTTTTAGATGTTAAATGATATTTAAAGACAACTGTATCAATTTTGCAACCTTCCTTTGAACCGTCCATTTTAATGTTATTAAATATAAAATAGAGAAACACAGAATCCCTAAACATTCTTAGATTTTTGGAAAAAAAATAGGTTTAACAACTTAGGGAGAATTTGATGAATTCAAAAAAGTTGAACGATTATAGTTTTATTTCTGGTGATTTACAATGCCATTGAGGGTATATTTTAGGTTCAATTTAAATGTATCTAAACTATCTTTTTAACAAAGGGTCAATTGTTGAATTTCCTACGGTTTATCATGGTCATTAAAAGTGGGTTTACAAATTATGTTTCCAGTAGGAGTTTTACTATCTGACGATATACTGGCTGTATTTGAAGATAACGCTTTAATCGATGCAGATAAAGAGAGAGTTCACCTACTTCAGCGGTTGGTGGTAGTCAAAATGAGCCTATACGGCGTTGACCTTGCTGGTGCAAAGTTTCATGCATTCATAAATACGATTTTTTTCCAAAGCTTTTAGCGATAGAATAAGACTTCTGTTTATTTCTAGTAAGGAGGAAACTATTATTCAAAATCCGTATTAGATAAAGCCTGTGACGCATCTAAAAATAATTAATTTTTAACTTTATTTTATATAAGAACAAGATATGGAAGGATTGCTTTTGGGTTTGGTTATAAGTCGCACAAACACTTCATACGTCATATGACGTTCAGCTGTACCAATGGAGGAACCTTAACGAATTTAAAGCTTTTAAACAATTAGTTCCTGTTCCTTACACGAGATTCCAATAAATAACATATTAAATGCTCAGTAATCATTGGACCAATGAAAATTATATATTGATATATAATTATACAATATGTGAATACAAGACGGATCATTTTTTTCACATTTACATTTCTTTCTACTTTTTTTATATCGCTGCAATATACATTTTTGTACTTTGTTTAGTTTTTTTAACAATTGAATCAACAAAGATTTACAAATATTGGTGTGTTGTTCACGTGGGTGTTGACATATTGTGAATTTATCTAAAAAATATTTTTTGTTTGTATTTACCTTTGGTTTCACAATCACTGCACGTTTCATAATTAATGTTCTGAAACAAAATGTTTATATGGTCACTTTATATATAAGAAAACCCTGATTACACCGAATTGCATCGAATCAAAACTAATCACCAATGCCTTTTAAGTTTTTAAACATTAAAGGAATAACAGTACAAATATAAATAAAACAATAAAAAAACAACAAAGAAAAACAACAAGAAAAAAGGTAACAAGATATTTGTTTGGCAAGAAAGGTGGTTCAATGAGTTAGCGAATAATTTTATAATACACATATTACTTTGAATATGTTAAATTTCATAAGATTAAAAAGAAGTCAATATTTAATTCACGACAACCATAAGATAACAATCTGTTACCAAAGTCCAGTCCTGTTTGTTTCCAAACACATAGCCTTTTCTGGTTTGTATTCTTTCAGCAATATCAAATGTGCCTCCATCCGAAGTATTAACGCCTATAAGGAAACATGTATTAACTATTCTTTCAAAATTAATGTAATCACATTCTTTCGTATTTTTGCAATTTTCGACACAGCGATCTAAACCTTTGCCAAGAATAATTTTAACAGCATAGATATTCCAAGGATACTCTAAATCAGTTTGTATCCACTTTGCCATGAAAGTCTTTTCCGCCGCCAAACACACCTTCCCGAGAATAAAAACACAACTCAAAAAGGTGCTAAAACTTAACATTATTGTTTGTATCTGGTTAAATATCTAACTATTTCCCTTTTTACCATTTCCCTTTTTACCAAAAACAAAAACCTGTACATAAATAACAATTGTTTCCATGTCAAAATTTAAGAATATATGTACAGCAAGTTGTATCGTGAATAATAATAACAAGCTAAAGAAGTTTGAGATATTCATAGATTAATATTTACAGACATTTTCGCTTTTATGTTCAATATGACAAGAGAGAAAATGCACGGTCGTCATTCATCTATATATTTAAACTTTCCCAGCATAATTGTCATGATTAGTAGTATTCTAGCTGCAATAAACTTAAACAATTTATTGATTTGAGGGCATGTATTTTAAATTATAGATACAACAAAATAAAGTCAATACTCTGACAGATGTATGGTTTAAATGAGAGAAAGAAAACATGTCATCGTTTGTTACACGAAGTATATTTATTATTCATTATAATCACTTTAACAGAATAAAGAATTATCGATGTTAAAATTATTTAAGGCTGTTAAATAAACATGAAAATACCAGAAAATATTATTACGCTTTAGAGTTTGAAACTAGCACTTCATCAATAGCAGATTACTTAAGAAAATATGCATCACATATCAGATTTTGCAAAGTTATAAACTAAATCAACACTAAAATAGAGAAATACAGAATCCCTAAAGAAAGCCCGACACGGCAATATTGAAAATGTTGCAAACTTGTTTGATTGAACCTGTTCATGGACGGTACTGGAAAGTGCAAGTTACCGTCCAGGCCCCTAGCACCGTCTTAAGCAGAATTCAACATTTAAACATAAAAATGGTGAAATTTTGAATTTAGAAACACCCGCAGATGTGTTCATACGGCTGTGGAACCTTCAATGTGACACAGTAAGTCTCAGGTGGTGACTTTCCAACTTAACTGATAACAAAGATATCATGCCCGCATGCATTATTTCAGACACGATGGGAACCCAAGTAGAACTGTCACATCTTCACCTGTTCAAGTGGAATATTTAAATAAAAAACAAAAACGTATGTTACCCCCAGTGTGTCTTTTTTATACAAAACATAATCAGAAAGTGAATACGTACACAGACTTATGTCTTTTTTCGAACATCAGTAAGAAATTTGAAATTACAATAGCCAAGCCAACTGTCATAGTAAAATGATAATTCTTGGGAAGGCAGTTACTTAATTTGAAATAGCATTTCGTCTGTTTACATTTGGCACGTCGACACAAGTATCACTCCAAACTACGATACGCAGAAGATCGTCATAATTATTATACCCTATGCTTTTCCCCATCGTGGCGATCCTATGTCAATGTTGAATACTTGTTACATTTTCTTACATATTCTTATTTTACACGGAAGTACATGAAAGTTATGTTTGAATTTATTTAGATTGCATGTCAAACAAAAGGTAAGTCATTCTTTTTAACCGTTCAATAATTCTATCTTTAAATTAAATGGATTTGTCACTGAATCGATATTTAGTTGTCAACTGAATAAAGTATGTAACTGTCATCAATCACCTTTCTAGTTTTACACTTAATGAGTTAAATGCCTCATTACCATCAACTTTTATCTATTTATGCATGAACAAGGTCTTTTATCTACTGTCGCATTGGGTAACCATAAGGTACATTGTGCTGAAGCTTGCATTATTGATAAAATAACAAAGAGAAATTACGTAATTTGCATGGATGATGCCTGTTTACACAGATCACAAGGATTTTCTTACTAAATAAAATACAACAGAACATATATTCTATTTGACTAAAGTATTACAAGCTTATCGTCGTTATACAATGAAAACAAATACACTTGGTATGACATGAGAAGAAAATACATACGGTATATTATAAATTAAATATTGTTTCTTAAACATATATTCAACAAGAATATAAGAAAGAACAAACATACTCAAAGTAACATGAAAAACAAAATGTATAAATACAGATTGATGAAAATATTTATATTATTACAATAATTATAATAATTTCAAATTCTTGTTACAATACATAGTCAATTATAAAAATACTTATTACTGCTTTACAATAATAAAATATACTTAAATTGACCCCATATATTTCGCTTAAAATGTTTCTGTTATATTATTCTAACAACATGCCAAGTTTAAAGAAATTCTATTTGCCTATATGTCTATATGAAACACCCGAAAATGTCCTTACGTCAGCATAAGCTGTTCAATTTAAAACTAAGTGAAGTTCGTTTTTAATATCGTTTTAAGTTAAAGAGTGTACATTTTCGTTCATTGGGCAGAATGTAATAATGTCGACCGGCTTCAAGGTTAAAAATAAAGAAAAAACTGTATCCATGAAGAAAGCCCAACACGGCAAAAATGAAAATGTTGCAGGATCGGTATGATACAGCCTGTTCAGGAATTTATGAGTAGAGAAACTTAATATATCCAGTGTATTTCTATATTTTCTTCTAAAAGACTGATATAATCACATGGATGGAATTCCATATAGATCTCAAAATTAAACATTGGTTAAAAAAAAATATATGTGATTTCCCGTTTATCCAGATGTGCAATCTCAGGGTCAATTTTCAACTTTTAAACGTTTATATAAAATTCAAATTTCAAATATAAGCAGACTCTATTTAGTCAAAAATACTCAAGGATTTCTTAAGTACCCTCTCCATAACCTCTGAAATTAAATAATCCAATATATTTGCGCCATAATTTAAAACAGAAAGTGCAAACGTATAAAAATATTAAACATGATATTTATTGGAACTTCCATGCTACGAATCATAACACATTAGAATTGTTAAGATCTTAATTTAGCCAATTTGTTCGATGCTTGCAGCATGAAAGATACAACCCCTATAAGTTTAAGAGACTTGACTATTTCTAATTTATGATCATAATAATCTCATTGCATCTTAATTTCCCTCCTTTTCTTAATATCATAACTAAACTTTTTTCTATATATATTGTAGGGTTTCATTTACAACAACTATCTATTGATTTACATGTTTCAGAAATGATTACAGCGTCATGCTAGGAGAGCGACAGAAATTATTTTTATTATTATCTCTCATGAACAGACCTTTTAAACCGTTTGACATTGTACAAAAACAAAATTAAAACAAAAGCAAATAAACTTTTTTGTAACGATACATTTTTGATTGTAAAATAAATTTGTTTTGGATCTATTCACGCAATTTGCCTACAAATGCTTTGAATAAAACATAAAATATGAATTTGTCACTATTATACCTTAATAGGAATTCCCACTATGAAGGTGGGTGTTACAAATGTCATTGTCTTTTTTTTCATATCATTATTATGACTTTTTTACTGACTATATGATTCCAATCAGGGAGTTGTCTGAAGCTATTTTTGTTACCAAAGAAACTTCATGTCCATCACTTGTTTTCATAATGAGGCATGATATATGGAACGACATGAAATTGTCAAGAGAACCACCCTTGATAACTATTATCTTTCCTAATTAGTCTAATTTAAGTGATACTGCATAAATGTTAAACACATCAAGACAAATACAGGCAATTATGAAAGCAGAGGGTGAAAAAGGGGTTAACTTGAAGAGCATAAATGATCAAATAACGTTTCGTTGGTAAATCATTACTTTCCGTTAAAATACTAGTGACTTTTACTAAATACCGAAGTGCCGATGAGCGAATAAATTAAGGCCATGGTCTAACCATTTTTATGACAATGAGGGATTTGCAAACAACTTCTCTGCCATTTTTACTTTTTCAATCCTTTGCAACCCAAAAGAGTGAAAAGATAAACACAATTAAGAACCTAAGATAATATCACTTTTTCATTAAAATGTTAAGATATTTCTATGTAGTAATAGAATATTAAATTTATAGAACGTCGCTGGTTATTCTAAGATGTCAGATGAGGCACGGAGCAGCATATGGAAATGCGCCAAAACAACTAGTACTAGGGGCGAATAACCCTCCCCTCCTTATCTCCACCTAGAAAAAGAAACACTACGAAAACAAACCCAAACACTTTCGATACTGTTGAATTAAATGTGAAAGGAGATCATGCACCATCAATGAATACTTCACTGTCAAGTATGTCCTTCAATGCTATAATTTTGCACAGATTCGTGACATTGACTCCGTACCAACCAAAGCATAGATCGATCGGTAATCATATCTTAATTATTCCTCCAACAGCAAAGCTAGAAAGTCGCTATGCGAACAAAATAGTAATGGACGCTGTATAACCAGTTATTCGTCAATATGCAGAATTTTCAATTATCTCCCTTAAGTATACTTAAGAAGGACAACAATGTGGCAAATACGCCCGCCACAAAAGCTTTTTTCAGAGATGTGGCATGATAGATATGCATATTGGAGGTATGCTCTGAACAATATCCGGACAATATCTAGATATTTTATCATCCATAATGACCTGAACATTTCAAATATTAGCCTACATTACATGTGTCACACTTGCATTCATGATAGTTAACATTTATGTTACAATCCATCAATAAACGATGACTAAATGGTCACCGTACACAAACTTTGATCTCTCCATGTGACCTTGAATTTGGTAGCAGGGATCTTGATAATGTGCGCAATACTTAGCTTCACAATGGTAGTCATGATAATGACCATTTGTGTTTCAATCCGTCAATAAAATGATGACTAAATGGTCCAAATACATATTTTCATCTGAACTTTGACCCCTTTGTGTGACCTTGACCACAGGCACTTGGTTTTTTTAATCGAGATTCAGCCTACCATGGTGCCAATTTATATTTACATCATATGTAAAAGTTTTACCCCGGACAAGCGCTTTACAATGACCTCTAAGTGTGACCTTGACATGTGATCTTGAGACCTGGTCATAGTGGTGAACATTTCTATTAAGTTTCATTAGAATTCATCAATGCGTGAAGATGATATGCTCCGGACAAAAAAATGGACGCCGCCCGCCAGGGGCAACTATTTTACTGACATATAAGAGAATGTGCACTGTTCAGAACCATAATTCTGCTTTTAGATTCATTTTCTTTACAATATTCAGTTATGATCGTCTTGGAAATAGAATTGACGGAATTTGATTTAAACTCCACAGAGTCATATAGATAGGGGTCAGGAAGTGTATTGTCATCTACCAGCTATAATGAAACATAACTCTTCATTACTTAGGTCTTTATTTTATTATCTAATTTTATTACACTTAATACTGTTTGCATCACACGTCAGAGATAGAGAAGATGGTTCTATTACAAAATAACTTACTTTTAAATAATAAAACAACAACAACATTTTACAGATTTTTAATCTGAACTAATGGAGGAAGGCCTTAGGTGGCCTTCCGTGCATAACGTATTTCAGGCACGAATAGACACCCGAGTAAAACCTACCTGTATAGCTTCCCAACATGATGGAATCCAAAGTCTCTCTCGGGATTCGAACATATAACGGTGAGAGGCAAGTTGTTTGAAGAAATTTCAATACATTGAATTTTCTTTTACAAATTTATCTAATAAAGTGTTACTTTTTAATTACTCATATAATCCAAGTGAGTTTATTACACTAAGGTAGTTCATTAATTTTAAGTACAATCACTGAAAGAACATTGAAGAAAAGCAAGCACAATGTCTCTATTCGTCATCACACTTAATATCTGACCCATTGATTAGTTTCATTTAGTGAGAAATGAAGATGTTTTCCGAAAGTTGATTTAGACACTCAGATTATTGACCTAAAAATGAAAGTCACAATCAGTTTATAAAAAGCAGATAACGGTTAAAGGTGAAAATATTGTCTACCGACATTTCAAAAAGCGTTTTGTATTTATTTGTATAGAGCATTTGATCTTTATAAAAACTTACCTTTTGCTACGTATCTTGAAACTGAATAAAAAATAGGTTTTTTTTTATTGTTTATTTATTTATTTTTTAAGAATTTTCAGCTTTATTTTCATGAGTTTATCTATTATATTTAATGCAAATTTGACAAGACAAAATAGGGGTGGTAAGAAGAAACAGCCAATAGTCCATATAACTACATCCATCATTGTAAAAACAAGAAGCGCCGCAATGCGACGAAAACCAGGTTTTCAACGACCAAGTTTTGATGTGACAGCAATCAATAGGTGAAGTGCACTGATGTTATTGAGTAGAAGCTGACAATTCTATTGTAAGTAAATGACCTTGACATTGCTAGTGGCAATCCAAATCTGCCATGCAGCAAGCTAAGTGTCAAAAGGTCAAAGCAAACTAAGTTATAACATGAAAACTAAATACATTAACCTTTACGTGATCACAGACACATGGGTAGCAATCCAAAGCTGCCTCTTGATATCTAAATAAGCTACACATACACCAATTTGGTGTTAATAGGACAAAGCAACCTGAAGTTATTGAGCGTAAACTGAATATACATTTTTAGTAACAGTGACCTTGACCTTGATCACAGACACCTGGGTAGCAATCCCAAACTGCCTCTTGATATAAGCTATCCATACACCAAGTTTGGTGTCAATAGGCCAAAGCAAACTCAATTTCTTGAGCGGAAACTGAATATCTATTTTAAGTAACAGTGACCTTGATCACAGACACCTGGGTAGCAATCCAAAGCTGCCTCTTAATATAAGCTATACTTTTTTTTTGGATTTTTACGGCACGTCAACACATTACTGGCCATATCGTGCCGAATGCTATTAAAGGCTTAAAATGTTATGTAAAACTTTGTTAATGACAATAGAAATGAACCAATTAGATCCTAGAATACAAGTTTATCTCTTTCAAATAATCAATTATGTTTTTTGATGGAATTGTATTAAAAAGTTCTTTGAGTGAATTTACAGAATAAAATCTATTACGGGCCTGTGAAAAATCATGACATTCAAGAAGAAAATGCTTGACAGTAAAATTTTCATTACAACCAACACAGAAAGGGGCATTGTCATTTGTAAGGAGATAAGAGTGGGTAATATTAGTGTGTCCAATTCGGCATCGAAGAAGAACTGTTTGATCACGGCGGTTCGACAGAGATAGAGATGGTGACACATCAAGAGATGGGTTTATATCGTGAAGTTTATTAAAAACGGCATTGTCCCGGTTTGCTTTCCATTTAGATGATACGAGTTTATTTATAGCCGATCTAAAATCACAAGCAGGTAACAATAAGCTATACACCAAGTTTGGTGTCAATAGGACAAAGAAACCTCAAGTTATTGAGCTTAAACTGAATATCTATTTTTAGTAACAGTGACCTTGACTTTGATCACAGACACCTCGGAAGCAATCCGAAGCTGCCTCGTGATAAAAGGTACCTACACACCAAATTTAGTGTCAATAAGCCAAAGCAAACTCAAGTTATTGAGCGGAAACTAAATTTCTATTTTTAGTAACAGTGACCTTGACCTTGATCACAGAGACCTGGGTAGCAATCCCAAGCTGCCTCTTAATATAAGCTATCCATACACAAAGTTTGGTGTCAATAGGCCAAAGCAACCTCAAGTTATTGAGTAGAAACTGAATTTCTATTTCAAGTTACAGTGACCTTGATTACATACACCTGGGAAGCAATCCAAAACTGCCTCCTGATATAAGCTATCCATACACCAAGTTTGGTGTCAATAGGCCAAAGCAAACTCAAGTTATTGAGCGGAAACTTAATTTCTATTTTCAGTATCAGTGACCTTGATCAAAGACACCTGGGTAGCAATCCCAAGCTTCCTCTTGATATAAGCTACCTACACACCAAGTTTTCTGTCAATAGGCCAAAGCAAACTAAAGTTTTTGAGCGGAAGCCAAAAGTTGACGCCCGCCCGCCTGCCCGCCTACTTCGGCATTACAATTACCCGGTTTTCGTTGAAAACCTTGTTAAAAAATCAGGATGCCATGATGGCAATCAATTGTATTACACTTTATCTGACAAAAACCAACAGTTTTTTCTTTGGCCTAAACAGGAAATTGACATCGTTTTGAGCACATTTTAAATTAGGTGGAAGAAGATGTTTATTTCCACTATGAAATTAATTGAAATTAATACTTGAATCAAAAATTTTAAAGATGTTACGTTTCCATAGCAGCATCACTATTCGCATTTTCACGGCAACACCATTTGATTGAAATATCATCAATAGATTCAGCAATCTGACAACGACAAGCATTAAATTTGATTTCAGAAGAAATTCAGTATTTAGGTCCTTTCAAGACTATGTGTTTTTCAAAAATACTTTTGTCCGCAATCATATCAAAATTAAAACGATCGGAGAAGCAGAATATGGATTATATTTTAACTAGAAATGTGTCCATAGGACACGGGTGCCCCCACACTCCACTGTTTTGTCAATCTTATGACAAATATTTTTGGGCTACATGTACCACAAGTTGAAAACTAAAAATCTTTTACTTAGTAAAGGGAAAGAACTTTACAAATACTGAATATATCCACAACTGAACCCCAAGGTACATAAGTACACATGCTGACAAACATTTTTGTAAACTTTCAGGTCACAGGTCAAATACTTTTTGAGCCTGAACAAGTTGAAACTACTAAGTCAAGAGCAATAACTCTAACAAAACTTTATATTTGCATGCAAAATCCAAAATGCATAGCTTCACAGCGATGTTGATAATTATTCAATTATTCCTGCAAAGTTGATTAATTCTAACTCAAGCACTCAAGGAACAAATAACACATCATAATGAAACGGTTTTTAATATTTTTATGTATGCATAACACAGATTGAAAATTGCAAATTTTCACTTAGTCAAAGGCAATTTCTCTGACAAAACATACCAATTCACAAGCGAAACCTCAAATGCAAAACTTCACATGCTGACAAACATTCCTGTGAAGATTCATGACCCTATGTCAAATACTTTTTGAGCTACATGTCACACAAGTTGAAAATTGCAAATTTTTACTAAGTAAAGGACAATAAATTTACAAATACTAAATAAATCTAAACAAAAATATCTAGGTGCACAACTACATATGCTGATCAACATTCCTGTAAAGTTAGAAATACTTTTGGAGCTACGTGAGACAAAAGTTGAAATTTGCAAATTTTAAGTACGTCCAGGGCAATGACTCTGACAAAACAAAATTAATTCACAGGCGAAACGCCAGGTGCACAACTGCACATGCTAATCAGCATTCCTGTAAAGTTTCATGATTCTAGCTAAAATATTTTTTGAGATACGTGCGGCACAAATAAAAAATTGTAATTTTTTTACTTAGTAAAATCTCTAAAAACCGGATCCTCTGAAACCGGAATCCTCCGAAAACCGGACGATTTGAAAAGTCCCGTTATTTTTCCTTCTTATTTCATTGAAAACAAATCCTCTAAATACCGGAAACTCTGAAATCCGAATACCGGGCGATTTGCCATCGTTTCTATTGCTTAATGTACATAAAATATCCTCTGAAAACCGGACGCTAAGTGTCAACTTTTTGTGTATTCTAATTAGATCCCAACCAGGTGACAATTTTTAGCGTTGGCCAATTAACGGTCATACGATATATCTATGCAGGCGTGAAAAACACTTGTCGGTGCGTGTGTCAATAACGTATCGGCAATTTAATGACGATCTTTCAGCATGTGTTAATTTCGTTTATTGTTGTACAGGTATGATTGTGAAAACATTTTAATTTGTTGCGTTTTTTAAAGTTACGTAAATTCTTTGTTGTATTGATAACAAGGGCAATTATAATTTGTGCTAAATCGATCAGGTAATTTCGAATTGTTTTTCGCAAAACATATCAATTAACATGATGAAATGAAATGAGATAATTATTCATATTTTTACTTTATTAAAAGATGAATATTCGAGTAAATATTTGCTACAAACATGGTTTATTTAAATAACAGTTAATTCTATTGGATGTGTTTTAAAAGCCAATGAAAAACGTTTAAAGTTTATATAAGTATCTTTGAGATATCTACGTATATGCACTTTATTTTTGACTTAGAAAAGCAAAGTTTTCCTACATTGCAAAGTTTAAAATTAATTAAGAAATGACTGAGCCACCTTCAAAACGTAGAAGGGTTGAACTGTCTCTACAAGAGAAAATAACTATTGTAAAAGAATATGAGTCTGTTCCTAAACCACCTATGAAGGTAAGCCGATATAACTCTTATTGAATTATAAATAGTCAATGGTTATTTTGACCATTTTTGCAATTTGAATCATTTCAATTTTAATAATTTTAGCTTAGTTTGAAATTAAATTTATTTTTCTTCATTTTACAGTCATTGTCTGAGAAGTATGGGATAGGGAAGTCCACTGTCGGTGACATTATAAAGAAGAAAGATCTGTTGAAAAGTAACTGGGAATCAAACATGTCTTCAAACAAAAGTCTTTCAACTATGATGCTAAATTTGATAAACTTAATGAACTTGTGTGGCAATGGTTTTGTGTAGTTCGAGCTAAGAATTTACCAGTGTCAGGGCCAATTATTCAAGAGAAAGCTAAGAGTTTCGCGACAGAGTTAGGTGTTAGTGATTTTAAGGCATCAAATGGCTGGTTAGGTAAATGGAAAGGACGCTATTCAATCAAGGAATTTAAAATTTCCGGTGAAAGTGCAGGTGTAAAGGTTGATGATGTTGATGGATTTAAAGCGCGTATTCCAGAATTTATTGGGGATTACGATATAAAAGATGTGTTTAATTGTGATGAAACATGCCTGTATTACAGAGCTCTTCCAGACAAAACGTTATCAGCTAAAGGATCACTGACAAAAAGGTCTAAAGTGTCTAAAGAAAGAATAACAGTGATGTTCACATGTAGTGCACTTGGGGAAAAATTGAAACCTCTAGTTATAGGAAAGTTTGAAAATCCTAGATGTTTTAAAAATGTCAATAAGAAAAATCTTGGTGTGAAATATGTTGCTAACAAAAAAGCATGGATGAATAGCCACGTTTTCAAAACTTGGATAAATGAACTTAATTCAGAAATGCGCCGCCAAGGAAGAAGAATTTTTCTCATGCTTGACAATGCTTCTTCACATGGTAAAGCGGATGATTACAACATCTCTAATGTATGTGTAAAGTTCTTGCCCGCAAACACTACGTCACATCTTCAGCCATTAGATCAAGGCATTATAAGAACATTCAAAGCTCATTACCGGAGATACCTACTGAAGTCATTGATCAGTTTAATGGACGACAGTGCAAATGTGACTGAACTGTGTAAAAATGTCAATCTAATGGATGCTATTTCGTGGACATTGAAAGCATGGAATGATATCAAAAAGGAAACAATTATGAAGTGCTTTAGATCTGTTGGATTTGGTAATGATGAATCTACAACTGGCCAGTCTATGGATGATGAAGACGAGTATGAGGATGACAATGTACCACTAGCATTGTTGGTGCGAGAACTGAGTTACAATATGCAGGACTTTGAGAACATTGATTTAAGTTTGCCAACCGAAGATGACAGTGACCAATGGGAAATGAACATTGTAGAATCATTCCGGACAGATGAGACAATTGAGGATGATAAGGTGCTCCAAACTCTTATGAAGTTAAAAAACTTTGCTTTGGAAAAAGATAGTGATCTATTGGATGGTGTTCTCCAACTACAGACTATGATGGAAGACAAAATTGTTAAAGCCAGATGTTCACAAAGACAATTAACAATGCATGATTTCTTTGTCAAATGTTGAGTGATGATATGTAAAATCTTCTATTGTTACATTCAGTGAGATGGCTGTGAATAAAATAGACTCAAAGAACACAACATAAAATGTTCACAAATTAAATGAATGTTTGTTACATAAATGGTAAATAAATGTTTTAACATGATTTAATCATAATTATGTATGAACTTATATTCACATTACTCCAGATGAATATATGCATATTGTTCACTCATTACTCAATGTACATGTATAAATGTTATGAATGCTCAATAAAACATTCAATTAGTGCAAATTATTATAATTATGTGATTATTTATTAAATAACTAATTTTATATTAAATAAAATAATTAAAGTTTGAAATGAAATTATTTTGTTGTCATTACTATTCTAGTACTTAAACTATCATAAACATAAAAAAAGAAAACGGAAGACCATTTAAAGGTTCATTAAAAAACATATTGTTATGATAAAAGATGACTGTATATAAAACCTCTGAAAACCGGAATCCTCTGAAAACCGGACTTTTGGCCTTGTCCGGTTTTCAGAGTTTTTACTGTACTTAGTCAAGGGCTATTACTCTAAAATACGAAATATATCCACACGAAAATACCCAGGTGCACAACTTCACATGCTGAGCAACATTCCCGTAAGGTTTCATGACTCTAGGTCAAAAACATTTTGAGTTACGTGCGACACAAGTTGTAAATTGTAAAGTTTTACTTAGTCAAGGACAATAACTCTAAAAATACTAAATATATATTCAAAACTACCCAGGCGCATAACTTCACATGCTGAGCATCATTCCTGTAAGGTTTCATGATTCTAGGTCAAATACTTCAATGCATGACTATGTTACAGTTTGGAAACTAATGTGTATCTTCAAACTCTTCTTATTAGCACAAGTACCTTCCACCTATAAGAGTGACCTTGATCTTGAAGGTAGGAACACACAACACGTTATCTTGATGTTGTAGACATTTGTGCCAATTTTCAATTTTTTTAATGCATGACAAAGTTAAAGTCCGGACACGATTGCGTGTACCTATAATCTCTAATTGTGATTTCGTGAACATTCAAAATATATTTGTGACCAAGACCTTTGAATAAAGGTCATAGTTCTTAGACGCGACACAAAGTTGTCTTGTGATAGACATTTGTGCTAATTTATTTCAAAATCCCTCGATGCAAGACAAAGTTACAGTCTGGACATGAGTGTTGTGTTAGTGGGGACGCACGGGCAGACGGACATTAGCGTTAGCCGCGACACATCGTCTTGATCTGGTAGACGTTTGTGCCAAGCTATTCCAAAATCCCTCAATGAATGACAAAGTTACAGTCCAGACACGAATGAAGTGGGACTCACAGACGGACAAACAGACAGACGTACGGTGCGATTTTAATATGCCGCCCTTCAGGGGGGAGGCATTAAAAAGAAATGAAGGTATGCGTCTAAGACATAAATTACACTTGTTTTAGCTAACAATCAACAATGAATCAATTAGAACAACAAGTTACATTTAACCGACTTTGGTTTAGGCAACCCCAACATCACTCATTTGCATGATTTTAGAACTCATTCGACTACCACCTAACACGATACTGAATATAGGAAATAGACTTTTGGAATCGTTGAAGATATTTAAAGCGGCAAAAATGTGCTTTCTTTAATGTTTTCACATCGGTACCAGTTCTTCCAAATGAACAGGGTAACTCCCGAGACATTTTTATAATTGTAAGAAACTCTTCGTATTTACAGTTCTTTTTGTAATACTGTATAATCACCCGTGGGATATTGTGCCTAATTTCTAAATTGGTCTTTTGACGTCTTATCTATGATATGTAGCTTTATTACCTCAGATCCTCTTTCAAAATTCCATTATATTCATTTACTTCCGCCCATTATTTTCCCGTTTAAGACACTCGCTTTCATTTACTTGGGGACCATACGCCGCCTTCATAAAATGGCACAAAAGTGTCACATTTAATGCTCCATGATAATCGGCGTATGAGAACATCTGCAGATGTTCCAAAATTCAAAGTGTCACAATTTTCATGTTAAATTCTGCTTAAGACTGCAACATTTTCAATTAAGTCGATTTTTGCGTTCAGTTTTATCTATTCTCCTTGTCAACAAAACGATGTCCAGCAGTATCATAAGCTACCTCAGATCGAAACAGAGTTACCATCTCGACAAGAATGCGTTTTATTTGCCGATGAAATTTATCCGAATTATGACCATATTCTCACACAATACGCGTCAGCTCAAACACACCATAAACAGGGGTGACAACGACGAAGTGCCTAAAACTTAACGTATCAATTTATGTTTGTAAAACATGTATGCCCCCTATCTGCAGCCAATTAGTCATGTGGTCAGGTTATTATGACTGACTTTTGACCTACAGACCAAAAAATAAATAGGGGTTATCTACATGTCATGACAAGTCACTAGGTAATTGTGACCGTAAAGGTTGTGTGCAGTAATTTTATGACAAAGTTATCACAAATCTTTAATTTTATGACAAAGTTATCACAAATCTTACCAAATAATATATACATACATTTTATGAACCATGTAAGCCTCCTTAATGACAGCAAATTTGTTATATTACATAAGACCTTGGAATATTTATACCAAAAGCATTTTTAGTTTAATGATAAAAAATATCAACCAAGGCAACTTGTGTTATTGGTCGAAAATCGTCTTTACATACAAGGTCAATGTGACTTTGACCTTAAATAAATAGGGATTATTAACTGGCCAAGACCACTGCAACTGTGAAGTTTGAAGCTAAAGGGCCCATGAGTTGTCGGGATATTGATCAGAAAGCGTTTTTACCTTTAAGGTCAATATGATCTTGACCTCTGACCCATTGTTTCAAAAAATCTATTGAGGTCATCTCCTGCCCAGAGCAATGCATATGTGAAGTTTGAAGGTCAATGGTCAACGACCTTAACCACTCGGCCACTCCACATCAAAAGAGGTCATCTACTTGCCAAGAACAATACACCTACGAAGTTTGATGTTCAAAGGCCCATGACTTGTCAAGTTATAAATCGGAAACCGTTTTACCTACAAGGTCAACATGACATTGACCCCTTGACCCCCAAAATCAATATGGGCCATCTACTGGCCAAGTCCAATGCACCTACGAAGTTTGAGGGCTAACAACCCATGGGTTGTTAAATTATTGATCGGAAACTGTTTTGACCTACAATGTCAATGTGACCTTGATCTTTGACCCAAAAATCAACAGGGGGTCATCAACTGGTCCTGAGCAATCATTATACCAAGTTTGAAGTTCCTAGGCCTAAGCGTTCTTTAGTTATTGGTCGAAAACCGTTTTATCTACAAGGTCAATTTTACATTGACCTTTGACCCACTGACCATAAAATCAATAGGGGTCATTTACTGGTCATGAAAAATCATCATACTAAGTTTGAAGATCCTAGACTTAAAGTTACATTAAATAAATATGTAAAAATATTTTTGCCGTCGGCCTAAAAACCAAGCATTCTACAGTTTCATTAATCTTTTTAACAGTATCGTTATAAATCTCATCAAATATTGTTCATAAATAAAAATTTTAAATGAAAACCCCACGGTAACACTAAAGTTCGTATACGAATTTTAACATGCAAATGAAGACTATAATCAGCTCGTGTATGCGCTACGTCACGGTGTTATCGTTGCTATCCGGAACACAGCAAATATAAGATTTTCTTGTGCAAACACACTTTAACCGTTTATGCTTCACGGTGCACTAGGCATGGGGTTCAGGAAAAGTTATCATCACATAAAAAAGATTAAATTTGTATGAAAATATCCGCTACAATGCGGAAATATACCGTTAAATAAGGACTACTACTTGTAGGCATGTTTGTTGATTTAACATTGATGTACGGATGATTAGAAGGAGGAGTTTCATATGCAAACAGAAATTGTACTTCCGAATTCGCCACAATGAGGTTGCACATTTGTTTGCCAATAAAACTCCTTTTGGTAGTCTGGACACCAAAATAAGATCTGGATTCGATATGAAATCCAATTTATTAATGAAATGTCGTTATTTCTGTTTTTATGAAATTTATTAAATGTAACTTTAAGCGTTCTTTAGTTATTGATTGGAGACCATTTGATCTTCGGACCAAACGACTGACAGGCTTTTCTTGATGCAAAGCAGTATCTTTGAAGGTAGGCATAATAATAGTAAAATACCGCGCATGTGTTGAACATGCTATAGCAGAGAATAAACGTTACAGATCAATTTCACGTGTATGGAGATACACAAGGATTGCGCTTCCAAAATTGTATTTGTTCTTATCTTACCTTTCCTGTCATAAGGTTATAGGTATGATAATTAGAATAATAGGAAAGTTTAATAACCGCCAAGTATTATACATTGAACGACCTACTTCGTTTTGCTTTATCACTTTATTTCTTTATTTATAGCCAATGATGTCAAAGTACTTAGGCGAACCACTCGTGACACATTCGTGTAATGGGGTAGAGCCTTTACAAGATTTCCTTCAAAGGGCCAGTACTTTTTCACAAATCTATAAGTTCACCACTGAAGTATCAAACGAACATGTTTTTCTTGACAGAGTGTCTCATATTAAAGACAATCTTATAATTGCTGATTTGTATTCAAAACCCACTGATAAACAACAATACCTTTTAACAAGCAACTGCCAACCTCAACACTGTTGCAAGAGCATACCCTTTAGTTTGGCTTTGAGAATCAAACGAATATGTTCAGATCCCGAAACGTTCTATATTAGATCAAAAGAACTCTCGACAGGTTCGGAAGTGTGGATAAAAAGAAATAAAGAAGAAGACATCGAAAATGCAGTCTCTGATGCAGACAACAAACACAGGAAGGAACTTCTAGAGTACATTCTCACTCTAGTAGTTCTTCACAAAATAAAATTATTTTTGAGCTTACATACCACCCTTACTTACCAGACACAAGATCCATCATTGATAATGATAAACATTGGCCAATTATTGAGTCGTCGCAGA